TGCTCTTGACTATGATGCTATTCTCACTGCCATGTATGCATTGCCTACTAGTGCTGACCGTGCCGGTCACCTGTGCGTCCCGCCTGACCCAGGTATAGGACCTGCTGCTCTAGCTACTGGTGAGGCTGCTGCTCTAGGTGCTAGTGAGTCTCCTGCTCCAGGTACAGGTGCGGCCGCTGCTCTAGGTGCTAGTGAGTCTGCTTCCTCAGGTGCGGGTGAGGCTGCGCTCTCAGGTACCGCGTTGGCTTCGGCCTCCCTCACCTTTACACTTGACTCTGGGGCTTCTCGCTCCTTCTTTCGGGACCGCACCACACTCACGCCGCTTGGTCGGCCGGTTGCAGTCTCCCTGGCTGACCCCTCTGGGGATCCTGTCCTCGCTCACTTTTCCACTGTCCTCCCGTGTCCGGCTGCCCCCTCGGGCACCCTGTCTGGCCTGTACCTCCCCTCGTTCTTGACGAACTTGGTGAGTGGTGCAAACCTACAGGATGCGGGGGTTCACCAGTTCACTCCTGCGAGTCAGCGGGTGACCCACTGCACGGACGCACGCACAGGCCGGCACCTGGCCACGTTCTCGCGTCGGCCGGGGTCGAGCCTCTACACCCTGACCACTGAGTCTCCTCCTGTCCCCGCGTCCGGTCAGGTAGCAGCGTCGAGTCAGGTGTTTGCTGCTGCGTCCAGGTCTGGTCCTGAGTCTGCCCCCTGTTCGTGTCGCCTCCTGTCTCACGAGACTCTCCTGTGGCACCACCGTCTAGGCCACCCCTCCTTGCCCCGTCTTCGGGGCATGGCTTCCCGTGGCCTTGTCTCTGGTCTTCCCCAGTCTCTCCCTCCCCTTCCTTCGGGACCAGGACCTTCCTGTGTCCCCTGTGTCGAGGGGCGCCTCAGGGCTGCTCCTCACTCCTCCCAGTTTCCCCCGACAGAGGCTCCTCTGCAGACGCTTCACATGGACGTGTGGGGCCTGGCCCCCGTCCGTGGGCAGGGTCACGAGCGCTACTTCCTGTTGGTGGTTGACGACTACTCGCGTTACACCTCAGTCTTCCCCTTGTGCAGCAAGGGTGCTGTCACTGAGGTGCTGATCGCCTCGATCCGCGAGGCTCGTCTCCAGCTCAGGAGGAGCTTCGGCTCGGACTTTCCTGTTCTGCGTCTGCACTCTGACCGAGGTGGGGAGTTCTCCTCTCGCCTTCTGCGAGACTACTGTCGTGCACAGGGGATCCGCCAGACCTTTACGCTTCCGGACTCTCCACAGCAAAATGGGATTGCTGAGCGCCGCATTGGCATGGTCATGGATGTCGCTCGTACGTCCATGATGCATGCGGCTGCCCCCCATTTTCTGTGGCCGTTTGCGGTTCGGTACGCGGCGCATCAGCTCAACCTTCACCCCAGGGTCTCTCGGCCCGCGATGTCCCCAGTGTTACTGTGGACGGGGAAGGTCGGCGATGCGTCTGCGTTCCGTGTCTGGGGATCTCGGGCGTTTGTCCGCGACTTGTCTGCGGACAAGCTGTCCCCCCGTGCTGCTCCCTGTGTCTTCCTTGGCTTCCCCCCTGACGCTCCAGGGTGGCAGTTCTACCACCCCTCCTCTCGTCGTGTTCTGTCCTCCCAGGACGTCACGTTCGACGAGTCAGTCCCCTTCTACCGCCTCTTCCCCTACCGTACTCCTTCCCTCCCCCCCCCACCGGACTTCCTGGTACCAGTTCCCCCCCCGGTAGACCCCCTCCCCCCTCAGGTTCCTGCCCCTTCAGGTGTGTCCCAGGTAGAAACAGTCGAGCCAGTCGAGGTTGCTGCTGAGTCTGGTCCTGCTGCGGGTGCTGAGCCTGGGGGTGCTGCTGCTGGGGGTGCTGAGCCTGGGGGTGCGAGGCCGGGGGGTGCTGAGTCTGGTGGTGCTGGGCCTGGAGGTCCGGAGCCTGCGCCTGCTGGACCTGGGGGCTCTCCGGTTCTTCCGTCTCGGCGGGAGCCGCTCTCTCCACAGGAGCTGCGCGAGTGGTTTGCTCGCCGCTGGAGGCGTGCTGCTGGAGCTGGAGCTTCTTCGCCTGCTGAGGGTGCTGTTGCTGCCGGTCCCGGAGCTGCTGGGCCTGCGGGTCCTACTGGAGCTGGAGCTACTGAGCCTGGGGGTGCTGAGTCTGGAGCTGCTGAGCCTGGAGGTGCTGAGTCTGGAGCTGCTGAGCCTGGGGGTGCTACGTCTGGAGCTGCTGTGCCTGGGGGTGCTGAGTCTGGAGCTGCTGAGCCTGGGGTTTCTCCTGCTGCTGCGTCTCGCCGGGAGCCCCTCTCTCCACAGGAGCTGCGCGAGTGGTTTGCTCGCCGCTGGAGGCGTGCTGCTGGAGCTGGAGCTTCGTCGACCGTCGAGGGTGCTGGTGCTGCCGGTCCCGGAGCTGCTGGGCCTGCGGGTCCTACTGGAGCTGGACCTGCTGAGGGTGTTGGTGCTGAGACTACTGCTGTCTGTCCTGGCGGTGGTTCTGCTGCTGGTGCTGCTGGAGGTCCTGCCGCTGGCGGTGTTGGTGGCGCTGGTGCTGTCGCTGAAGGTGCTGGTGCTGTCCTTGCTGAGTCTGGAGCTGCCGCGCGGCCTCGGCCGTACTTCGTTCCGCTCCTACAGCAGGTTCTTGGTCTTTCTCCTTCGGTAGAGTGTCCACAGCCTGTCCAGTCGCAGTCACTGTTGGAGCCTTCCTCTCCTCTGCCTGCTCCCTCCCCTTACACTGGTCCTACTGGAGGTCTTGCTGAGCGTCGTGAGCCTGCGTCTCGTCCCACGTCGCCGGTCCGTGCTGCTCGCGCTAGTGGTCGCGGTTCGCGTCAGCGTCCTCCTCCTGTCCCTGGCACGCACCGGATGTCTCTGCGTCCGTCCACTGCTCCTCTGCGTGCCCCTTTGCCTTCTCCTCCTGAGTCCTCTCTTCCTGCGCTTGCCGACCCTGAGGCGGACTCTCTTCGTGCTGCCAGTCCTACTGTCACGCGTCTCCAGGCTACTGTCGTCACTGACCCTTCTTTCGAGTCCACTGCTGCGTCTGCCCTTGTTGCTGAGCTCGTCGACTTTGCTACTCGCTGTCGCCTACACTACGCTGCTAGTCTTGTCGCTGAGTCTGAGTCTGCCTGTCCTCCGTCCGTCGGGGGTGAGTGTGCCCTTGGCACGGACGTCCTTGAGGATAGACAGGAGGAGTTCCAGTGTCTAGCAGCTGCTTCACCTCATCTCGTGTCCGTACTGCTTACCCCTGAGGGAGACCCAGATGCACTTGACATCCCGACTCAGCGCTCTTACGCGGAGGCGATAGAGGGTCCCTACTCCTCTCAGTGGCAGGCAGCTATGGATGCAGAGATGGCTTCCTGGAAGTCCACAGGCACCTACGTTGACGCAGTTCCCCCTCCTGGGGCGAACATCGTCAGTGGCATGTGGATCTTCAGGGTGAAGCGGCCGCCGGGCTCTCCACCTGTCTTCAAGGCGCGGTACGTTGCTCGTGGCTTCAGTCAGCGGCAGGGAGTTGACTACTTTCAGACCTTCTCTCCCACCCCGAAGATGACCACTCTTCGGGTGCTGCTGCACATAGCCGCTCAGCGCGACTACGAGCTTCACTCTCTCGACTTCAGCACTGCGTTCTTGCAGGGTAGCCTGCACGAGGAGATCTGGCTGCGCCGTCCGCCTGGCTTCACTGGGACTTTCCCTCCTGGCACCCAGTGGAGCCTCCGACGGCCAGTCTACGGTCTCCGCCAGGCACCGCGTGAGTGGCACGACACACTGAGGACTACGCTTGCGGCTCTTGGGTTTGCTCCCTCTACTGCTGACCCGTCGCTGTTTCTGCGCACCGACACTTCACTGCCGCCGTTCTACATCCTCGTGTACGTCGACGACTTGGTCTTTGCCACAGCGGACACTGCTGGACTCGCCTACGTGAAGTCCGAGCTGCTGAAGAGACACACGTGCACAGACCTGGGTGAACTGCGCAGCTACCTTGGCTTGCAGATCACTCGGGACAGAGCACGCCGCACCATTACCTTGACTCAGTCACACATGGTGCAGCAGGTCCTTCAGCGCTTCGGCTTCACGTACTCCTCGCCTCAGGCCACTCCTCTGCCTACTCGCCACTCACTCTCAGCTCTGCCTTCGGATGAGTCCGTAGAGTCGAGTGGTCCGTATGCAGAGCTTGTTGGCTGCCTCATGTACCTGATGACCTGCACACGACCTGACCTTGCATACCCTCTGAGCATTCTTGCACGCTATGTTGCTCCTGGGAGACACCGACCAGAGCACATGGCAGCAGCGAAGAGGGTATTGCGCTACCTGTGCAGTACGTCGGGCATGGGGCTAGTGCTTGGAGGGCGGAGTCCAGTGGTCCTTACAGGCCACGCGGACGCTTCTTGGGCTGACGACCAGGCTACGCAGCGGTCGTCACAGGGTTACACCTTCAGCCTTGGTTCCGGCTCTGTCTCGTGGCGGTCTACTCGCTCGTCTTCAGTTCTCGGCTCCAGTTGTGAGGCTGAGATCTACGCCGGGGCCATGGCTGCACAGGAGCTTCGCTGGCTCACCTACCTGCTGACTGACCTTGGAGAGCCGCCTCGTTCTCCTCTTGTGCTGTACGTAGACAACAAGGCCATGCTGGCCTTGTGTCGAGAGCAGCGCTTGGAGCACAGAACGAAGCACATTGCTCTCCGCTACTTCCTTGCTCGTGAGCTGCAGCAGCGTGGTCAGTTGCGACTTGCGTACGTGGCCTCTGAGGCCAACACTGCTGATGTGTTCACCAAGGCACTCGCGCCTTGTGACCATCAGCGCTTTTGCACCCAGCTGGGTCTTGTGCCTGTCTTGCCTCACTTGCTCTCCTCTTGACTTCACTTGTACTGTGACATATATATATACCTGCTCTTGCTTGTCTAGTTTTATATATATGTCTGTCCTCCTGCATGTGAACTGGCCTGTGGCCCTGCTCTTGTGCTCGGACTGTGTGGTGACTTTGTGATCCACCCTGAGCTTGCTTTGCTTTGCTTTGCTTGACTGGTCTTGTGACCCCTTGTTCTCCCCCACTTTGCCTATGGGGGTGTGTCAGAGTATTATAACTGATGCATGTTTGTAGGCTATAGTGGGGTAGCACATATGGGGTACAGCTTTCTAGGGTTGTATTTGTACCCAACTCTGACTTAGTCATTTCATTCCTGTTCTCTTATCTTTCACAATTAGCGGCAGCGACGGGCAAACCTGGTCGTCGGGCGCCTGGCACCTCGCCTGCTCTCGCCGCTGCGTCTCCCTTCGATCTCTCCTCTTCCGCCACTCCCGCTCCTCCGCTCGCCTCCTTGCGCGCAGTACCGCCGCAGGTCCCTCTCGCGCCGCGCTTGCCCCACCAACCCACCGCAGATAAGCCTCTGGCCTCCGCGCATTCCTCACGCTCCCTGCTGTCGTCACAGCCGTATAGTAAAGCCCGCCGCCTGCCCTTCCGTTTCCCCGCGCGCGCCGTGTCCGCCCAGGCGCGCGCGCTCTGCCACTACGCCGCGCTCACCGTCGCCGCGGCCCTCTTTCACGTCGTGTGGATCGCCTTTCAGTCCGACGCGCCGCGCTTGCCTGACGCCCGTGACCCCAATGGGAGGGCCGTCCCCTACCGGTCACATGAAACATTACGAGGCTGCCCGGTGTGCGGCCGCGGCGAGGTCAAGCTACCGCCGCTGGTGCGCCCGCTGTCCGCGCGCGGCGCCAAGATGCGCCTCTGCATGGGCAGCGCCGCCGCGCCGTTCGCGCAGGGCACGTTCGTGAGCCCCGAGGAGGCGCGCGACGGGGCGAGCTTCGGCAGCCGGTTCGCGCAGCTGGCGGTGTTCGAGGCGGAGGCGCTGCACGAGGCGGCGGATGGCGCGGGGGACGCGCGCGGAGGCGGCGGGAAGTCGGGGCGGCAGGTTCAGCGAGGGTCGGCGGCGGTGACGACGTGGGTGAGGCTGCTGGCGTTCCTGGAGGACGAGGAGTCGATCCGCAAGACGCAGTGGGAGGGGTGGGGCGCGGCGGAGCTGAGCGACGTGTACTGGCGGGGGCGCGTTGCAGGTGAAGTGCCTGGTGTGGCCGGGCCACGACCCCGCGCTGCACAGTGTGGCGCCCGCCCTCGTGGTGGACACCGTGGTGCGCCACCGCCACCCCTGGCACATCGCCCTCGAATGCCCCCTCCCGCCCTTCCCCTCCCCGCCTTCCCAATCCTCCTCCCCGCCTCCTGCGGACACGTCTGCGGACCCCTCCGCAGATGCGGCAGTGCCGGTGCACGTGAGGGTGAGTCGGCGGGAGGCGTGGCGGCACTATGTGGAGTACGGGCAGCGCCTGCAGGTGCAGCTGGTGGCAGCCCGCAACGGCTCCGACCTGCGCATGCCGCCTCTGCTGCTCTGCCGTGCTGACGGCGACAGTGATGGTGACGGCGGTGGTGGCGGTAGTGACGGGCTCCCCGTGGACCCGGGCAGCCGCGCCCCGCCGTTCCCCTTCGCTGCCGTGGAGAGGGAGGTGGCTGCCGCGGCTAATGCAGGCTCGGGAGGAGGCTCGGAACTGGCGAGGCTGATGGGGGGGGATGCGGGAGGAGTGGGGGGCAAAGCGAGGATGAAAGGGGCGGGGAAAGGGGAGGGCGCGGGGGCGTAAGGGGGGAAGTGCGGAGGAGATGCTGGTGGAGTATGGGGAGGACGCCGCCACGCAGGAGCAGGGGGGCAGCACCACTGCACACAGCAGCAGCAGCAGTAGTGGGGGCGGCAGGAGGAGGGCAATGGGGGCGGTGGCGATCTGCCTGCGCCCCTTCCACACGCGGCAGCTCTTCTCCCTCGACGTGGCCTTCTCACACGCGCGCCTGCTGGAGTGGATCTACGCGGCGCTGCTGATGGGCGTGTAGCACATCTACGTGTACGACCGCCACGCCATTGCCATGCAAGCCCTGCTGGCGCCGTACAGCGAGCGCGGGCAGGTGCAGCACGTGCCCTTCTCCCCCTGGAGCGAGGTCTTCTATCGACACGCGCTCTACGCTGGCAAGGCCCGCGTGCCGTACCTCGTGAGTGCCGTACCTGGTGAATTTTTTTCTCGCCTCATTCCCAACCTCACGAATCTCCATCCCGCCTGCACATGTGCCACTCACCAACTGGTTCCAATGCCATGTCGCAGAAAAAACAGGTCTCTTGCTGCCTTCCCCATGCTTCCCCTTGCCCGTCCCTCTCCATACCCCGCACCTTCCATGCCCCCCTCATTCCCATGTCCCCTTCTGCTCTCCCATGCCATCCCTGCTCCCTGTTCCTCTGGCGCACGCCTCCCCTTCTCATCCCACGCCCCCCTATGTCGCCAGTTCCCAGAGATATACGATCAGATCATATCATACGAGCACTGCCTCATGCAGGGGCGGCGGAGGGGAGACCGGTGGCAGCTGCACATAGACAGCGACGAGTTCGTGTGGTACGAGCCGCGCACGGGGGGCTTCCTCAAGCCGCTGCTCGCGCGCCTCGAGCTCAACCACACGCGCTCGCGCCGCGCGGCAGCAAGGAGCCCCTGCGGGTGAGCGCAGCACCATGGCACCGCCGGGAGGAGTCCTTGCGCTCTGCACTCACATCATACCCCCTCGTCCATGTGCTCTTGCCTTATGACGACTGTGCCGTGTTGCACGCGAATGCGTCAAATGCCCCACTCGTCTCCTCTCTTCCTAACCCCGCATGCTCCTGCAGGTGATTCAGCTGCGTCGCTTCAACTTCTGGGGCGTGGAGGCGGAGTCGCGGCGCGAGCCGGTGTTGGACCGCCTCACGTGGCGCTGCGCTCAGCCCATGTGGCACACGGAGGGGTTGGGCGGGCTGGCATGACAAGCTCGCTGTCAACCCGCAAACCATCCTGCCCTAGTGAGTGCCGCTCTAGTGAGTGCCGCCCTAGTGAGTGCCGCCCTAGTGAGTGCCGCCCTAGTGAGTAGTACTGCCCAAGCTCCATTCTCGCTCTCGCGTCCTTCTCATCACTCTCCTCTCGGTTCCTCCACATGTTCTTTCAACCCATCGCTCCCCCTTTCTCTTCCCCCGCCATCAGCTCGGTGGCCATCCACACGACCACGGCGCCCCCGGAGTCGGTGGCAACGGCGCCGCAGGACGTGCTGCACGTGAACCACTTCACGGCCACAGCCATCGACCTCGCGCAGCACCCCTGCCGCTCCTGGGTCAAGCCCGTGCTGGACCAAGGCCTCACCTGGGTCACCCCGCGCGCCCTCAAGTGCCGCGCCCTGCCCTGCCACCGCTCCACACCCCTCGAGTGCTGGCTCTTTTGCATTCTGCCGTGGCAGGGGGAGGAGGATGGCAGGAGGGGCGGTGCTGGTGGGGGTGGAGGGCTAAGGGTGGCTAAGCCTGAGAATGTGGAGAGCGGGGAGGGAGAGAAGAGTAAGGAGCCTGCCGAAGATACGATGTAACTGAATATGGCATAGCCTACTTGCATGTGATGAGGCATTTGGGTTGTCATAAGCTCGTTGTGCTGCGGCCTTTAACCAGCTGCTGTGAATCTCAGTGCCCAAACCCAAAGCTTCACAAGAGAAATCAACCTGCATTGAGCATTACAAGCAATAAGCATTACAATGGGTTCCTTTGTGTTGCATGAGTCCACATATACATGAGAAGCATAACACGAGCGGAGCTGTACAATGAGGGGCCGGGCTGGCATGTGGTGTGGCTAGTGGCTAGTGGCGCAGGCGCAGGTAGATGACGGCAGCGATGGCGAGCAGCAGCAGGGCGAGGATGAGCGCGGTGATCCACTTGTTGCGGTGCAGCTTGTGCGCCATGCCGCCCAGCACGCGCCTCGCGCGACTCATCTGGTGGTCCACGTCCTCCAGCTGCGCTTGGCACACGCAGCGCACACGGGATGGCAGGTGAATGCTTCTGAGGGCACAGCGAGGCGCGAGCAGTGAGAGAGGTGCGAGCAGTGAGAGAGGTGCGAGCAGTGAGAGAGGTGCGAGCAGTGAGAGAGGTGCGAGCAGTGAGAGAGGTGCGAGCAGTGAGAGAGGTGCGAGCAGTGAGAGAGGTGCGAGCAGTGAGAGAGGTGCGAGCAGTGAGAGAGGTGCGAGCAGTGAGAGAGGTGCAAGCAGTGAGAGAGGTGCGAGCAGTGAGAGAGGAGAGAGTGAGACGCCTGGCCCCCCTGACCGTGTCGCCGGCGCGCAGCAGGGACTGGCGCTGCTGGTGCAGGTCCGCCAGGATGGCCACGCCCAGCTGCTCCGTGCCCGCCATCGCGCGCCGGCTCTCCGCCACGCGCGCTGACGACTCCTCCACCCGCGCCGTCACCTGCAGCAGCCGCGCGCGCTGGTCCGCCGCGCCCTGGGGGGGGGAGGGGCGAAGTAGGAGAAGAGAGGAGGAGGGGAGGGCCGCAAGATGGATGGATGGACACGGTGTTCCACTGGCAGACGGATTGGTGGTCCCTGCCCTCTGGGGAGAGGGAGGCACACACCGATAGAGGCACGCACCAATAGAGGCACACACCAATAGAGGCACACACCGATAGAGGCACACACCGATAGAGGCACACACCGATAGTGGCACACAACAATAGAGGCACACACCGATAGAGGCACACACCGATAGAGGCACACACCGATAGAGGCACACACCGATAGAGGCACACACCGATAGAGGCACGCACCAATAGAGGCACACACCGATAGAGGCACACACCAATAGAGGCACACACCGATAGAGGCACACACCAATAGAGGCACACACCGATAGAGGCACACACCGATAGAGGCACACACCGATAGTGGCACACAACGATAGAGGCACACACCGATAGAGGCACACACCGATAGAGGCACACACCGATAGAGGCACGCACCGATAGAGGCACGCACCGATAGAAGCACACACCGATAGAGGCACACACCGATAGAGGCACACACCAATAGAGGCACACACCAATAGAGGCACACACCGATAGAGGCACACACCGATAGAGGCACACACCGATAGTGGCACACAACGATAGAGGCACACACCGATAGAGGCACACACCGATAGAGGCACACACCGATAGAGGCACACACCGATAGAGGCACACACCGATAGAGGCACACACCGATAGAGGCATGCACCAATAGAGGCACACACCGATAGAGGCACACACCAATAGAGGCACACACCGATAGAGGCACACACCAATAGAGGCACATACCGATAGAGGCACACACCAATAGAGGCACATACCGATAGAGGCACACACCAATAGAGGCACATACCGATAGAGGCACATACCGATAGAGGCACATACCGATAGAGGCACATAGTCCCTTCCATCTTCCAGCAGCGCTGTTCTCTCCTCCTCCGCTCTCCCCACCCCTCGTGACCCCGCTTGCCCCCCTGCTTGCCCGCCCATCACGACTCCCCCCTCCCCCCCCGTCTCGGCGGCGCGCTTCTTGGCGGCGAGCAGCGCGAGCTTGTGCGCGCGCAGGCGCGCCAGCAGATGCGCGCGGTCGGTGGGGGGAAGCGAGCGCGCCTCGAGATCCATCTGGCGAATCTGGAGGAGGGGGGAAGAAGGAATATGTGCGGCGGGAAGGAGAGCAGCGGGGCGGGGAGGAGAGCAGCGGGGCGGGGAGGAGAGCAGCGGGGCGGGGAGGAGAGCAGCGGGGCGGGGAGGAGAGCAGCGGGGCGGGGAGGAGAGCAGCGGGGCGGGGAGGAGAGCAGCGGGGCGGGGAGGAGAGCAGCGGGGCGGGGAGGAGAGCAGCGGGGCGGGGAGGAGAGCAGCGGAGCGGGGAGGAGAGCAGCGGGGCGGGGAGGAGAGCAGCGGGGCGGGGAGGAGAGCAGCGGGGCGGGGAGGAGAGCAGCGGGGCGGGGAGGAGAGCAGCGAGGCGGGGAGGAGAGCAGCGGGGTGGGGAGGAGAGCAGCGAGGCGGGGAGGAGAGCAGCGGGGCGGGGAGGAGAGCAGCGGGGCGGGGAGGAGAGCAGTGGGGCGGGGAGGAGAGCAGCGGGGCGGGGAGGAGAGCAGCGGGGCGGGGAGGAGAGCAGCGGGGCGGGGAGGAGAGCAGCGGGGCGGGGAGGAGAGCAGCGGGGCGGGGAGGAGAGCAGCGGGGTGGGGACTGAAGAGCGGAGGGACGAACGAGGTGGCGAACATAAGAGAGAGCCTTGGAGGACTCAAAGAGGGTGCGGGGGGAGCGGCGGCGACGTACCAGTGATTCCGCGTCGTCGATGCGCCGCTGCGACTCGTGCAGCCGACCGCTGGACGCACCTGCACGGCCACGTCGGGATGAGTGAGACGCGCGACGCGATGAAACCGATGAGGAGCGACGAGCGAAACACAGGGAACCATGCAGGGCGGAGGAGCGCAAACACGAGACGAGCGGTGGCGGCCTATGGTGATGCGTACCGTGTGACAAGGCGTCGACGATGCCGTTGAACTGCCGCTCGTACGCCTCGAAGGTCGCCATGCTCGCCACACCGACGCTCACAACCGCCGTGAGGGAGACGATGCGAGGGCTGCGCTGCTGGAGTGCGCGGCAACGTGTACGGCGAACCGCGGGGTTTGCGGAATGCGAAGAAACTAAATTGGACTTGGTTGAGCTCAAACCCTACCAGACCGACTCTTCGCCCAAACTCTAATTCCGCGGTATGTCAATATGGTGATAGGCTGTAGTGGGGCTGTACGGATACAGTTCTAGGGTTTCACCTTTTGAATCCCATCTTCCTAGTCAAATTCGTTCCGCGCTACTCTCTTTCAGTTTTTGCACGGATGCACGAGTTAGGGCGTGTGCACTAGGGATTCGAACTCTTGTCAGTTCTAACTTTTATCTAGGTTCTACTCGGTACAATACTACTGTGAGACGTTTGCCACGGTGCAAAGCGGTTAATGTTCGAACTTTGACAAATTTCGCCAAAAGACACACGCCCTTATAAAAGGTTGATGGGGAGGAGTTCAGTTTTGGGTTGTGACGAGAGGATATATTTCGTCAATCTCGTTTTACCGAGAATCACCGAGTCGGGCGTCAAACTGTTACCACCTTCACGCGATTGGTCCAAATTTCTGAGTGGTTCTTTTATGCGATTGGTTTTCGATTTTCCCACCGAACTTCCTCCTGGGGTTTCCCGATTCCCGAACCTGCAAATTTTACATTGACTTCGTTGTGTAATTCGGGGTTTGGCCTTTAAAGCCGGCGGCCCAAGTTGTTCATGCTTTTAAAAGTTGACCAGAGTTTTTCTGGTGTAGGCTTTGGCGAGAGTTCGCAATTTCGTCTAGGCTCGTTTTTTTTCGCGAGACCCAGCCAACCCTCAGTTTTCCCCCTGGTGAGTGAATCTGTCTTCGAAAGTCCCAAATCGCAGGTGCGTGACTTTCAAAAGCTTGGACACTCAACTTCGTCAAGTTTTAAAAACTTGACCCTCGCGGTCCGCAATTTGGGACGCGGGCTTTAACATGGAATCTTGCGCTAGGTTAGGTCCGACTGCCGAACAAAACACCGAACCTACGATTAGGATAGGTTTGATCTCGCTGCCCCGCGCCTCGATCGCCACAGTTCCGCTGCCCCGCGCATCGAGTGCCACTGCCCCACTGCCCCGCACGTCGCACGCCACTGCCCTGCTGCCCCGCGCATCGTGCTCGGCGTGCTGCCATGCGTGCCGCACGCGCTGCCTCGCGCCTCGCTCAACCTGCTGCCCCGTGCCCCGCGCGCCCTGCTGCCCTACACGCTCGCGCGCCCTCCTGCCCCGCGCGCCGCGCGCCCTGCTGCCTTGCGCCCCGTGCGTCCTACTCTAGGCGCCCTAAGCACCCTGCTGCCACGTGCCTGCCAACGCGCGCGGCTGCGCCGTGCCTGCTCGTTCACTGCCGCTACAGCTGCCACTGCGACTACCGCTACACCGGCTGCCACCGCTGCAGCTGCCTATATCGCTGCAGCCGCAGCAACCGCCACTGCTGCCCCTGCAATTGCCGCTACAGCTTCCTCCGCCGCAGTCGCTACTGCCACCCTTGCGCCGCCGCTGCTGACTGCCATTGCCTGTCATGGCCACTATCACTGTCCTAGAGGTTGACGACGATGGGTGCCCTTTCTTGTTAGAGTGGTGGCTCGAGTGCCTGCGACGGTATCTCCGTCGTTTCATATAGAGATGGCGTCCCTGATCGTCCCTTCGGGCCCCCACAACTCCCACTGAGCCTGTTGCTGACGCTGGCGAGGACGTGAAGTGGCGGTACCGGGCGAACCTCCTTGCCTACACACAGTGGACGGAGCGTGACGATATCGCACCGCTTGCCATCCGAGCTCGCCTGCTGACCAAGGCCCACATTCGTCTGGTAACATCGGTCCAAACATTTTACGCCGCTGTGGTTCGACATTACTCCTCCCTCTCTCCTGCCACCCGGCCTCTGCGGCAGCGGCGTCCGTTGTTAGGGGAGGTGCAGTATGAGGATCAAATAAATGGTTTAGAAATTATAATATGATCACTTGGGTACAACACGAGGCTATATATGGGCTCGACACAAATGCAGTAACCCTGGTGTTTAGGGTTTAGGGTTCTGCGGGTCGTGAAGCGTCTCGAACGGGTCCTTTTCTGAATTTGGTAGAAGCAATTCATCTTGTACAAGAACAGGTGGTGGTGGCGGTAGCTGTCGTCCTGTAAACTGTTGGTTGGGGTCCTTGTAGGGCTTCAGCAGCTGAACATGGAAAGCGTTGTGAAACTTCCATGTAGTAGGTAAGCGCAACCGGTGGTCTCAACGCGAAAAGGATTACAGGAGCGAGGCCGGAGCATGGACGGAAGGTGGGACAAGTCCACGTTCTCAAATGTTATATCTGCTACAGTTTGTTTAGGCTGTAGTGGGGTAGTTACTATGGGGTACAGTAAGCTTAGGGTTTCCTACTTGTACCCAACTCTTTCCTACTTCAATCACTCTTGTTCATTCTGACATGGTATCACGAGCCTAGGTTAGCCACCTAGGACCGCTTACTACTACGGGCCCACTATTCCGCCAGAAGCGCCCTCGTGCGCCCTACCTTACGTGCGCCCTCGTAGGCCTTTCTCTACTCGTGCGCCCTCGTGCGACTTCTTTCTACTAGTGCGCCCTCGAGCGCCCCGCCCTTCGTTCTGCCCGCGCGCCGTCCTCTGCCCATGCGCATGTGGCCCGCTAGCCACCAGCGCGCCGCCTGATCGACGCCCGCGTACAGCCTGCTCGCCGCCCACGCAGTTCGTTCCGGCCTCACGCGGCCCCTCGAGCCGCCCGCGACCTGCCTGCACGTAGGCCGCCACCCGTAGGCTGCTGGCCGCCCGTACGCTGCCCGTAGGCCGCCCTAACGCAGCCCGTAGGCCGCCCGTACGTCGCCCGTAGGCCGCCGCCGCCCGTAGGCCGACGCTCGCGCGCAGGCTGTACCCCGCGCGCTGCGGCTGCTGCACGCCGGTGGCTGCAGCCCGTCGGGACCCGCGCGTCGCCCCTACCTCTTCGCGACGCCCTTGCGGGCCCCGCGCGTCGCCCCTTGCCTCTTCGCGACGCCCTTGCGGGACCCGCATGTCCCCCCCCAGCCTCGTCGCGACGCCCCTGCGGGACCCGCGCGTCGCCCTTGCCTCTTCGCGACGAACCTACGGGACCCGCGAGGCGCGGCTACTGCGCGTCGCGCCGCCCCAACGGGACCCGGGCGTCGCCCCCGCTCGTCGTGACGCCCTTACGGGGCCCGCGCGACGTCGCCCCTGCCCGCCGAGTCGCCCTGCAGTACCCGCGCCCGCCCTGCCCGCCGCGTCGCCCCTACCCCGCGCCTGGTCCCTGGAGCAGCTGTCCCTGCAGCAGCCGCCCCTGGCCCCTAGAGCAGCCGTCACTGCAGCAGCCGCCCCTGGCCCCTGGAGCAACCGCACCTGCAGCCGCCCCTGGCCCCTGGAGCGGCTGCCTCTGCAGCAGCCGCCATCTGGCCACTGGAGCAGCCGCCACTGCAGGAACCGCCCCTGGCCCCTGGAGCAGCCGCCCCTGGAGCAGCCGCCACTGCAGTAGCCGCCCCTGGCCCCCCGACCAGCCGCCCCTGCAGCAGCTGCCGTCGCGGCCCGGTCCCGCCCTACAGCAACTGCCGCGGAGCTCCCTGCCGCGGTTGCGGCCTCGCCCTGCCGCTGTAGCGGCCCCCGTCGTGCGCCCGCCCTTCCCACCACTGGTGAGCACGTCCCTACCCGTACTACTACTGCTGTTACTTCTACTGCTACTGCTGCTCCTGCTGCTACTGCTTCTACTGCTGCTCCTGGCGTGGCCAGATGCAGCTCCAGGGCCGTCCGCGTGTGTCCCTCACGCCCCAGCAGCTTCGTGAGTGGTACGCCAGTTGGGGTTGTCGGGGTGGCAGTAGTGGGAGTCGTCCTGGAGTGCGTAGTTCGGGAGTTTCTTGTAGTGGCCTGGTGCCGCAGCAGCATCGTCTACGCGAGACTTGTTCGCCCCAGCAGCCTCGTGAGTGGTACGCTCAGAGTAGAGGGTCGTTGCGCACTGCTCACTGCCTGTACGTTATTCGCACGGGTGTCCGGACTGGTCAGCCTTGCGGGACGCCTGGTCACACAGAGTCTCACTACTTCGCCTGTCTGAGCGACGCTTGGCGTACAGAATTTGGCGACGATGCTGAGCTCCCCGACTGGGTGGAGCTGCTTAGGCAGAGGGTAGATATCTTTGCTCTTGACTATGATGCTATTCTCACTGCAATGTATGCATTGTCTACTAGTGCCGAGGGAGCCTGTCACCTATGTGTGCCGCCTGACCCCGGTATCCAGTCTACTGCTCCAGGTGCTGGTGAGGCTACTGCTCTAGGCGCTCGTGAGTCTGCTGCTTCAGGTGCTTGTGAGTCTGCGCTTTCCGGTACTACGTCTACTGAGGCACTGCACACCTTCACACTGGACTCAGGGGCTTCCCGCTGTTTCTTTCGCGACCGCACTGCCCTAGAGCAGCTCCCTAGACCGGTTGCTGTCTCCTTGGCTGACCCCTCCGGGGGTCCAGTCTATGCGACCTCCACCACTGCCCTCCCTTGTCCAGCTGTCCCGTCCGGCACCCTATCGGGCCTTTACCACCCCTCGTTCTCTGCGAACTTGGTAGTGGGTTCTGCGCTCCAGGACGCGGGTGTTCCCCAACTCACCCCTGCCTACGAGCGTGTGACACACTGCACGTGTGCCCAGATGGGTCGTCACCTGGCTACTTTCACTTGGCAGCCGGGGTCGGACTTGTACACACTAACCACAGCGTCCCCTCAGATAGCGGCGTCTGCATCTGCGTCAGGTTAGTTGTCCGCCCCCTGCTCGTGTTGCAACCTGTCGCACCAGACTGTCCTCTGGCACCACCGCCTTGGTCATTCCTCAGTGCAGCACCTTCGTGGTATGCACTCCCGGTACCTTGTCCCTGGTCTTCCCAGGGTTCTCCCTCCCCTCCCACCCTCGCCTGCTCCTCCATGTCTTCCCTGTATCGAGGGGCGGCAGCGCGCCACTCCTCACTCCTCCT